CCGGAACCTAATCAAGAATTATTCATCAAACATGGGTCTTCCTCATGGCGCTTTAATTACTAGATTGGTGAAGAGGAACAATATTGATCTTACACCCTTTATGCTTGGAAAGGCTCAAAGTGGGACTACACTCAATAAAGCTTTCTTTGAGAATATGCAATATGAGTATCAGAATTGTAGCTGGAGGAAGAAAGGGGATCAAGCAATGGAATAGCAAAGTGATGAAGAAGAAGGTGATGGAGATCAAGAAATGGCAAAACAAGGGGAAGAAGAACATGGAGGTGACAGCCCAAGACCCTTTCAAGCCTCCATGCAAAGGACTAATCGCAAAACCATGGAGCTAATGATAAATGACATGCGGCAGCTACACACCGACTTTTATGGTTTCCGGACAGAAATGAGAGGAAGAATGAATAACGTGGAAGGAAAGCTTGATCGGCTTGTTAACCATTTTTTTCCTCCACCCCCACCTGATGCCACCTAACTTGATATTTCTTTAGTTTGGCTAATCTTTAGGATGGACATCTTAGGGTTATGCATTTTATGTTTTTATTTGACTATGGATATGTCTTGAACCTTTTTATCTTTTTTTATGAATGGAAATGGCATCACTTGTGTTATCATGCTTTGTGAATGGTTGGTTATGATTTTGATGATTATATGCTCTTATTGAGGGGGAGTTTATTGGTTGATGATTGTATTCATGATTTTGGTTGTCTATGGTGCTATATTGATAATGATTGATGATTATATTCATTACATATTCTTGATGCTTTAAAGGTTGATAGCATGAATTAAATGGGAGTTTATTGCTTATGTTTATATACTTTTTGATGAATGACAAAAAGGGGGAGAAAGTATGCTGAATTCTTATAATTTTCTGGAATGTCTTAATGTCTTAATGTCATTTTCTTGGTGCTAAAATTTTGAGGTTAATATTGAAGTATATATGCTTTCATGATCAAAGTGTTCTGTTATCATCAAAAAGGGGGAGATTGTTGTACCTATGATTTTGATGATTACAAAACACATTTGAGTGACTAATTGATTTATTTAAGTGTATAGTTAAATTGCTAATATACTGCAAAGTAAACAAAATGAGATTGCATTAAAAAGGGCTCAAAGGGTAAAAATATGCAGAGAGCCGGCTTAAAAAAATTGCAGCCGGCTCTGGGAAGCAAAAGTGCA